TTCAGTTGAGGTTGAGTATTGGTGAAAGATGAAGAAAAATAATAATTAGGGATCCTTCTTATCCCTTTCATGTCAGTCGGGGAGAATGTTGTAGCAGAAAATATCCCCGCAAATATTTGCTCTTCAATTGCCCTCATATTTGGAATATGGCAAGAAATAGCTGAAAAAAATCTGACAAAGGCCAGAGGTGGTTTGTTTAATACAGCCAGACATTTCATGTGATTTGCAGCAAGACTGAATCGATTTCTTTTCTTTTTGATTATTTCAAAAATCTCACAGTATTGGCCTACATAAATCACCGTGATCATAATTTCCCAGTTGCTTCCAGATTCTTTCGCAAAGTAATTACTTAACCAGTATACCATTCGGACTTCTGTTGTATACAAGCATAACCACTCGATTCTGATTGTACCCTCAATCAGGCAGATTGTATGGTTTATTCATATTATTCAACACCGTTTGGCAAATTTAGATTTTGTCCACGCTATTATTTATATCATCTGTGTCATCAATCTGCATCAGATTTGTAACATCAATCTGCAAAGAAACGAAGCCTATGACGCTTAAAAGTTAATAGACAGATGAAGAAAAAGAGGGAAAGAGCGAGAGAGGGAGAGAGAGAGAGACCTAGCTTTGATTTCTACTGATAATGATAATGTATCGTTGTAATGTCTAACAAATTTGCAATAAAAGGTGACATGTCTATAAAACCTATTTTGTTTGCCCATGCGGGTGTGTACGTGTGTGCGTGGGTGTACGTGCGTGCGTGTGTGTTCGTGAGTGCGTGTGCGTGCGTGCGTGTGTGTGTGTGTGTGTGTGTGTGAGGGGGGGAGGGGTTCATCTGACCGTAGACCTACAGTTAACAGCTAAATTGTTGATACCCTTGTAAATTTGATGTTTTTCGGTTTTATGTAACTCAGGAACGAAAGGTAAACTGGTTGAATTGGGGCATTTTTGAATACGTTTAGATGTAAGCTTTGATATATAAATCAGCCCAAGTTGATTTTTCACATACATCTAAAATTAAAAAACTTGGTAAGGGTATGAACAATTTAGTTGTGAACTCAATAGTGACCAACGTGCACACAAGCACCCCCCCCCCCCACACACACACACACACACGTCAAACCCCCACACATGTGTGGTGTAAATCTAGTACTCATAATACACATTCATTCATTATTATACACACATTTGCGTAGGAATATATTATCAGGAAGACGATATACATAAACCGAAGATCTCCTTTTGACATTCGAATGGAGCACCTAAATAGACGTACCCTAGATATGAAAGGGCTAAATATATATTCTATTTTTTAAAACAATTTACAGGGTTCTGGTCTTCTGGAATTGAAGAGGTCCTTGGTTTGTGAGTTCTCCTGTAATCCGCTATGTGAATGTAAAGCTTTTATGAATTCGATGAATGCCTTGGGTTTCGTATACCATAGAACTTTGATTATTTAATACACTTCTAACAACGTCCTTTTGAAGTTCAGGTCACATGTACAGGCTTTATCAGAAGCCTTTACATACAGGGTCTTGTATTAAAAGCATATATATATATATATATATATATGATGATGTATTTAAAAATTAATAGTCACTAAACGACACTTAAAGGGGTAGTTGAGTTCTGTTGCAGAGGGCGCTACACAAAACAATTTTGTTGTGAGATAATGAAAAACTGAGTGTCAAATTTAAAAGAACATAATATTCAAATGACAAAATCATCTTTGTTTGATCAAAATCGGTTCAGAGACGGCTGAAATATAACGATTTCTAATACTTGTGTACCACCACAAATATTAGATATTTTGAAAAATTTGAAAAAAACCGTTAGAAAAAAACGAAATAACGCCTTTTACGTCGTATTTCAGCCAATGCCTATGTTGGCTTTCTTGTTGGCATTTTCGTGTTGCTTATATCACTCACAATTAGCCGGCTCATGTATTGTTACTTTTAATTAAATAATTAATTAACGGTCACCATGTTTTTTTTTAAGTGGAGCTGAATTGGTATGACGGTATTGGCTAAATTTCAAACATTTTGGGGTCTAAAATTACCTTCATAGCAATTTTAGGTTCTAAAAGGGCACTATAAATGTCATAGATAAGAATAAGAGCAATAACCATGCACTTTGAAGGTATTTACGGTCTGAAAACAGAACTCAACTATCCCTTTAAGTAAAAAATAATTTTGTAATTTTTGTAATTTTTCGCTCCAATTTGGTTTAAACCTTCCAGGATATGTTGAATAATTTTACTAAATTCTGGGTCACGTAAATAACGAAAAAAGAACGTTAAGAAAATCAGATGTCAAAAGGAAACAATTGCGGGGGAATCATGCGAAGTACAAAACAGAGTATTAAAATTATGGATTCGTTCCTAAGCCTAGGTAACTCGTCTCAGTATGAATTTAATTAAACCGCCAACCCATCCCATACCAACCGAATATTGGCAAAACAGTGTAATGTAGATGATTGTTCGGTCTGTTATCGGTCTTGTTAGCTTAATGAAGTTGAGAGCTGGTCAAGCATTTTAACCCATTGCTAACGGGAACCGGGTGACTCCTGTATTAAGTCTATGGGAATGAGAGAATTTAGGAGTCAACAGGTTAATAAAACTGTCTCGAAGTTTTTCTAGAAAGGTTGATTCCGTTGCATAGAGGAATTTGTGAATTTTGTGAGGTTTGGGGGTAATGAAAATGACAAAAAAATGACTCATTCCCATTGTAAATCACATTGTGCTTTATACAGAAATGAGTATATATATATGGGACTGCCAACACATGTGGCACAACAGTTGGGTCCAAATTTTTTTTAATTTTTGCTTGTATTACTTCGAAAGGAGTGGATTCGAAGAGCAATCCTTTACACGAAGAAAACGTTTATAATATATTCTCCCTGGCACACACAAATTGAGAAAGCTTCCAAATTATTTTGTACTTCTACTTCTACTTCTACGACGATACTCAGCAGGATCCATAAGTCAGGATGTAGTGCTGAGGAATAAACTATCTACCCAGACGTTGTACGTCCGCTTGTAATCTTCACTATAAAAAAAAATTGCTCTTAAGTAGTACCAGCACAATTAGAAGTCATCAGAGTTCAATTATATAGAAGCGGGATAGAAGCCTTGATCAAGGTAAAATCTAGGACACATGAAACTTAACACTTACTCACGACACGAAATGGCTCCATGGTACCATTAACATGACTATACATTTATCATAACATTGTTACATTTTACTACGTCTATTTTTTTTAAACAGACAGTACAGCTTCGGGTTTCCATTTATTTGAAGTCGTAAATTAATGATTTAAAGTGAGGGTAACATTATTGTATTAAAGATATATTGTAGTAACTTGTGCTGGTCCATGATATGAATGGAAAATGTATTTGCTATCATGAAAATGTTGACATTTCCATGGTCAAAATTACATATACGCCTGTACTGACTTCACTTTCATTAATTTCTGAAAGTAATCTTGGTAATAGGAAAGCACACAAACAGAATTATATGAAATTTCACAAAAAGCGTGAAATAAAATAGGAAAAATAAGAATTTCGACTTCAGATTGTGAAGTTTCATATCTCTCTACAAATAATTTGTCCTCTTGATATCGGTTTCAAGGTTCCAAAGTAAATAATATAGCTTGATATTGAATATTTCTATAATATTTACATCTCTCTCTCATCCAATGAGACGCGTGTATTTTAAAAGCTTTTTGAAGGCTTGTATAGCAGCTATGCGTATAAGGTTCCTTTTTTTAAATGATGCAAACACATTCAAATGCAATTCTAAAAAGGAACCATGGAGTAGAATCTAGGATGTATAAAAACGTGCTCATGAATGCCATTACTCAGTTTCAATATCTTTTAGAAAGTGAACCCACTTAAGAAATCGATATGCTTGTATTTCTCAAAATTATATTATTGGAAGTCATCGAATAGCTGGATATGATCATCATGATCAGATCATCCATTAGGCAAAGTCTTGCAATTCATGTATAATAAATGGTCTTAAGTAAAACCATAATGACTCCAAATATAACGTACAAAAGAAAATTAGGCCAGGCGAGCGTATGCACGTCGGATCTGACGATGGAGAGACAAGGGAAATTACCCCTCCCCCATCCCCTCATCCCGTTTTGCAAAAGTCGAGAATAGGGCATTTTAAACAATAGAAGGTATGCTCAGGGATGTCCCTGGTATATTAGAATCTCAAACCGTCTATGAAAGCTACCTTTCCATTACGAAAACACAGTATCAGATCCAGGGGTTCTGGGGCACGTGCCCCCCCCCGTACACACTAAATCTTAAGTACCCATCGAGTATTAAAAAAAGGAGAAAGAAAATGTTATCCCCCCCCCACCTTCTCGTTGCGGCTTATTACGATAGCCCGAACATGCCAAAAAAAACTTCAAAAAGTGAGAATCTTGTTTACATTTTGCAGACTCGGGCCCCCACTCCCCTAAGGGAATCCTGGATCCTCCACTGATACTCGGTGGTATGGGATGTCCTTTATACCACAATTTTGCCTCCTTTCAAGTCAGTAATCTTCTTTTGGTCTCATTCATATGTGCTTTCTTCTGTGGCAAATGCAACTCCGAAAGAATATGAGCGAACTAAGTATTAACTTGCTCGACCAAAAAGTTGTGACGTACGATAATATACTTTACTGCGCGTATATGACGTCAACAAAAAAACTTAATTCTAACGATGCAAAAATGTGGTGAGGTAAAGAAAATTTTAAACGTATTAAAAGCAGCGAAAAACGTTTAGTTCCTAGTAAATCTCGGACTTTCAAAGCAATGTGAACATAGCGCCAAAAACGTTAGAGGAAGAAAAGTATCATTTTATGCACCACTTATTTCATTATTATTTTGTTATTGTTGTTGTTATTTACTGATAATCATCCCCACCCCCTACTTACAAAACCTGGGTCCGCCTGCATATAAGAGAAGTGATGCGTGAAGTCTCATTGTCCATGTGTTTTCCCCTAGCCTTCACAACTCTGATGTGAATAGTGGCGATTACCGAGGCGTTTAAATCTAACCTATAAAGCAAGGACAGGAAGCAATGCTAGTAGTAGCAGTTTGTTCTCGGCGGTAGTCTCAATCATTTATATAATTTCAACCTGCACGTTGCAAAATACTCGAGCTTTAGAGGTCTGCAGAGACAATCACATGCAGTCAGTCAATCTTCACCTCGCTGTACATACCAACTAGCTACTGTACATTTGAGCTGATTTTAACAAACTTTTCCGACGTCGGTGTGTGATAACATCTTTTCCATGATGATGCTTTACTCGACGTCGTTCATGAGTTGGTTGGTTGTTATGATTGTTGTCATTGCTGTCATAAACGTCGAGGCTCAGTCACAGGGAAACACGTCCAACCAAAGTAAGAATGCGAGGTTTCATTTATTTATTTACCTTTTTGTTTACTTAAGTATTTACCTATTTAATTTTATCTTATTTATTTACACATGCATTCGTTCATTTATTGATGTATTTATTCATTCACTCATTCGTTTATTTATTTATTCATTCATTTATTTATTCATTCATTTATTTATTCATTCATTTATTATATTCATTGATTTTTTTAAAAATTTAGATCAAGTCATGTGCAAGTTTATCTTACTCATCTAAGACGAAAGAAAGAATGATTTTGTGATTTCCATGAAAAAATATGGAAGGTATATTCGTCCAATTTTACGATTTGATCAAGAAAATGGATTTTAAGAATTGTGGTGGATGCTGTAGGTGCCCGGGTGTAATTTATTATACGGGTTCAACACATCATTTATTATACGGGTTCAACACATCATTTATTATACGGGTTCAACACATCATTTATTATACGGGTTCAACACATCATACAGCAAATGTTTTGATATTTTAATCTGTAAAATACATGATTTTTCACGAATTTCTTTGATTGGGTTGCGATAGCACGAGGGCTCCCGGGCCCCCTGTTAATTGTAAAATGTTCACTCCCACATTTCTTTATTTGTTAAAACGTAAATTGTTAATGTCTGAAAATGAGTTGATATATTTTTCTGCGATATAACATTACTTTGTAATACATATTGAAAGCAGAAATAAAATTCAATCAAACAAGAAAAAAATGTCACGCATTAAATATTACATGTATGCTTGACATACTAAAAAAAAACAAATCAATACAGTTCAATATCCGTATAAGCTGTTGACGTGTTTTGGTTCACTGATCATTCTATCATAACAACAAATTTTATTTAGGTCAAGTTATTTAGCAGCCCACTTTTAAATTTCTACAGAACAACGACATTTTTTGTTCCATGATCAAATTGAGAGCGTGACATATGAGGATATTATGTTCATTTTTCGGCAATCTACATTTAAATCGGTATGGTCTGATACTTGATAAGGAATTATTTATTTATCTATTCTATTGAAGCAATTTTATCTACATTTCGTAACTTTTTGTGCTTTGATGAACAAGTTATGTATCGTATACTCCAATGGAACCCTGATTTAACTGAATATATATTACTACTTCTAATACTACTACTACTACTTCTACTACTACTACTGCTGCTGCTACAACTACTTCTACTTCTGCTACTACTACCACTACTACTACTACTAATAATAATAATAATGATAATCATGTAACAGCAGGCACATATGACACTCGACGAAGTCATTTAGAGTTGTAGGTGGTATTTATTTTGAGGACGGATCAACCCTTAATGAGACAAAAGGAAACAAGCAAACAGATTAGTTTTTGTTTCTTTCACATATTAAACATCAGTAAAACTATATGATCGTTCATAGAAATAGATACATCAATAATAACTATTATGATCATTCATAGGAATAGATACATCAATAATAACTATTGCCCTACTTGGCATTTTCCTCACACCATAGAAATATTATACATTTTGGATATTTTTCCATATATGGTTCATAGTTAACATTGTAACATCTAAGAGCAATAAGCAAGGTATAACAATAAAATGCCCAAATATGCATAAGTAATCATGAATACAGAAATATAAATTGCCTTTTTGTATAGTTCTCTTTACTATTACAATGACTCACCCCTCTTGAGCTCTCGAGGAGAGACTCCTAACGAGACAACGAGACTAGAATTAGACCAACTACATGTAGATAGTGCACCATCTCCAACTAACTGCCATCTCCAACCAAGTGATGAAGTAAGACCTCTGTAACATAAATGGTAACTTAAATGATAACTTCTATAACTTTCAAATTCTTAGAAAGTGACATGCAACTTGCAAGCTTTTGATATATAACAAATATTTTACTTTGACAACAAAATATCCAATACTAATGATACAAATTATCTCTTTACCTAGTTATTATACCAGGTCTTCTTTTGCATACACAATACTTTATACAGAGAAGCACAGATCGTATCATATTTGGTTTTCTAAACCAACTCATTATGAACAGCAATTAATGATAGGCCTCCAAATATTGACATAATTTCACTTGGGTACTACACAGAGTGTTTCTCTATAGAATCTTCTAGTAGTATCACATAATAACAGCAAAGGAATGTGAAATACAACTCACAACTCAATAAGACACTCAAGAGTTGTCAACTATACATGAAATCAAGTTTCCTCTATACGGTTTCAATCTAATGATGCATGTCAAATACATTATAATTCCACTTAGAACTTACCATAGATGCTGCAAAAATACTATTAAGTATGAAGTTCTACTCAGAGTTAGCTTCTCTGTCAAATCCAACGACCTAAGTCCTGAGTGGATGCATGGTCTATGCTCATCCCTCTCAATCTGTGATCTGGCAAAATATCCTTTCTCTCATTACCCTATACCCTCTCTGACTCAAGGTCAAAGTGCACTTCCCCTATGATGTGGCAAAAAATCTATTCTTCTCTCCAAATCACCCCATACCCTCTCTGACTTAAGGTCAAAGTTAACTTCCCCTTTTAGGGACCACCATTCTTCTCTCCAAATCACCCCATATCACCCCTCTCAGACTTAAGGTCAAAGTGAACTTCCCCTTTTAGGGACCACCTCAGAAGTACACTTAAAGGGATCTCCTTATTCAGAGACATGGATCCCTTCATTCAGGGACCTCCTCAACAAATAGAATTAGGAAACATTTCGACCTGTCACAATCATAACAATAATAATTACATTATTTGTTCTATTTTCACTGTCTCTCTCTCTCTCTCTTTCTCTCACACCCTCCCACTCTTTCTATCTTTCTCTGTGCCCCCCTTTTCTCTCTCCGTCTCCCTCTCTCTCTCTCTCTCTCTCAAACAACTCAATGGAAAAATATCGACAGACAATTTCCCATCATAGACGATTGTTTCTACATGACATGGGCGTCAATCCTTACGTAATACCTATTGATCATGGCATGATCAACTTAAGTCACTAGATTTATTTCTCAGTTTTTTCTCCTTCAAAACTAACATACACACTAATGATGCAAAATATTATGATCAGTTACATGATTCAAAGGCTAGTTAGAAATAGAGAAGAGCCAAGGCAAAACGAGAAAGCGACGAAGAAAGATTTTAAACCAAAAAACAGGATGTTTCACTATACTTCATAATGTATTCTTATAAAGATGGTGTTGAAGACATTGTTTGGAGTTCAAAGAAGACTCATCAAAACATGACCATCAGTATGCATGGACCAATGTAAATTGAGGATTAAGAAATACACTGTCTTGTTGAACAAAAAAAAAAAAAAAAAAAAAAGCTTAGGAATTCTGTAAAGAAAGTTTCGAGTGCCTTAGAAAAAGTCTTAAAGAATTGCATGAGCAATAAAATGTCTGAGGTAAACATGTCAGAGGTAAATATGTCAATTGAGAAGGGGAATTATCTAGAGGAAAATGGAACGTTTCCAAAGAATAAAAAAAATTATTTAGATTTCTAGAGTTTATATAAAGTAAACTTAAATTCTGCTTTGAATTCTAAAAAATGTTACTATATTCCAATGGTGTGTAATATGTAAGGCACATTATTTAATTCAAAACTAGACTGCTGAATGGCGTCAAGAATCATTTTTATCTAAAAACATACTTGTATTTTGATACGGACATATTAACGGAAGAGCATAATCGCCATTGCGTATAAGGTTTATGTGTGAGAATAGTGACAGCTATGAGAGGTGAGCAATGAAGGTGTGGATGAGATGGAGTATGGAATGATGAAGGATGAAAGATGGATGAGGTCATCATAATCAAACAGATCGGCATGGGGAAAGCAAAAGAGCGTCTCCGCCAATACTTTAAACAGACAGAATCAAAACTAATTGAGCAGCGTTTATACAATTATTTTCGAATAGGCCATTTTCGCAATGTAACCAATTTCAGTGCATATACGCCACTGCGAAGTGCCCCGATGCGAGCTGCTATACTCACCCGCCATAATCAACTGCATCTCAATAGATTATGGCACTGGTTTTTTTAACTTATACCAAATGTGTCCACAAATGGGTCCAAAATGAAATTATGTTTACTCACTTTAAACTTGTATTTTTAGGATCAGGACTAATCATATTTTTGAGAAATGCAAATTCTGGACCTTAATCTATCTCCTTATTTATTCACCAGATATGAATACTTTGAGTTTTTACAATTTTATTGTGAACTATAGCATATCTAATAACTGTGATATAAAACTCATTTGCTATTAACTACACCTTTAAATATGTTGGGTCTTTAAGAATATGTTTCAGAGATTATTCATGCAAATTGTTGAGTTTCTATCTTGAAAAATACAGATTCTGTATCCCTTGAAAGTGAAAAATAGCCCTAAATTAGGGTTTTGACAATAACAAGTTTTTATTTCAATAGGTAAAATGCTTTTTTCTTAGGTCAAACTTATTTTATTATAACAACTGATGATAAAAGGTAAATACATGCAAAAAAATTGGGAACCAGTGCATTGCCTAATAATTTTCATATGGCACACCACTGATGTTTCGGACGTTACACACTGTTAACATTATAACTTTATTTAAGTTAATTGCTTTTCTTTAGGTATTATTGACCTCAGTTACATTAATTGTTTGCAGAAAAATACTTCTGTAACATTTAAGGAAAAGATTGTGCAGTTTTAATTGGTTGAGCACATACATGTATACCAAGTTTGTCTTCATCGACCACTCAATTTATGTAAGGTATATTATTCATTTCAAGAACGTGTACCGGTAGTTAAAAATGCTTATGTGATCTAACAGAGTGAAATATGAAGCTAATAGCAATTGTAGTCATCAAAACTCCTTAGAAAATTCACTTAGAAACATACTCTTTATTGCATGTTATGAACAACAGTGTGAAATGTATACTATGGTTTGTTTCGGATGTTACACGATGTTAACATTTCAATGAGATCATCA